TTAACCTAACAATGTCGTACAGGTATAATTTCATTGCTCGGTTTTGTATAAAAACAAATAAATTGGCTCTGAAAAACATAAGATTTTAGCGTTAGCATCTTTCATCTATGCGCATGCGAGATTCAAAATAAAATAATTGGCGAGGAGCACGGGGTGGACCCGTGCGATGGAAAACGCAGTTTTTGCAGTATTCGTGCTGTTGTAAGATCGCTTGGAGTCCCAGTAGCTAGAATTTATGGCACACTGGTCCTCGAAGTTCAGAAAATTTGTGCTATTAAATGGCATTTGGTTAGGGAACATCACTTCAAAATTTCTGCCTCCTATCTTTTCTGGTCCTCGAGTTAGCGATTTTCCAGCTAAAAACTTTCATGCGCCCGTACTTGGGACCTAGACGTGCGTCAAGGTTGATGCGGCGGCCCAGGTGAGGCACTTGACTGGGGAACCTCTTGGCGAAATTTTAGCGCCGGAACTTGCTTGGTTGCTGAGTTGAAATCCCCGGACAGACGCTCAAACACACACACACACCGGGGTCGTCACAGCATGCGTTTTTGCATTTGCATATATGCAAAAGCGCATAATCAAAATTACTGTGAACGATCTGTTCTGTGAATTTAGTGATGCTACAAAAGCGCCGTCATTGCACTATGGAATTCAGAGACTGATCAATTGTTAAGGAATCTTGGTGACGAAATCCTAGGTGTTAAGGCTTCAGCATTTAAAATGCTTTGAATCCAGCCTTATTTCAAAGACTAAAATTTTTAGGAATGACAGTGACATTTATGCTCCTTCAGGATTATTGAGACCGATTAACGGTGCAACACCAAAAGAGCAGATTTGGGATTGGGATGAGGTATGACTCTTTTTCGTCAAACTGCGCCCAATGATTACATTAGCGCTACAATCTCTTTTATCAAGCCGAACAAATATGATGGTTTGGCCAACAGAAGTGTACAATTGCAGAGTAGGAACTGGTCTGATCTGAACATGATAAAGTGCCATAAACGCACCCCAAAATATACCGCACCACAAACGCATCCTAGTCTCACATCTTATCTCATATCGTCAATTCAAAAGCACACCACAGCTTCTCATGGTGTTACGTGAACGAGGACAAATCACAAATCACAAAGCACAAATCATATTGTGTTACGTGAACAAGGACAGTATTTGGCGTAATTACGTGGCAACGGCTGTTTTTCAAAGCATTCGTTTCTGATGCATTTACTTTCTAATTGATCAGAAAAAATTTGCCCAATTTGTCCAGGTTGTTAAAATTGCGAGCAACAAAACGAAAACGGCGTTCTATTTGGTTTCCAATTGTGTCACACCATCAAAACGCGAAGCATACGTGAAGCAGTTAAAAAATCACGTCAATGTGACAGAGCGTGGACGCTGCAGCAATGTCAAGTGCGATGAACTGTGTGTGAAAAATCTGACTGGTCTCTTTTAAGTACATACAATTATTTATGTAAAAAAGGTTTCTGAAATTTCTAGATTAACTTTTTTTTAAGTGAACCACCGCACTTCTCATGCATTTTTTGCATTTACGCAATGCAAAAATGTGTGTTGTCGAGAAGTCTGTATATGTGTGTGTATGTTTCTGTCTGTTCATCTGTTCCGATTTTTCATCTCCAGAACTACAAAAGCCACAGGGCTGAAATTTTGGGATCTTTAATCTACGTGCATTTATGAGCCCTTATCCCCAAAATAAGCTCTCGTACCTTCATGGTTCCCACGTGCGGACCCGCCAAATTTTTTGGCTGCCAAGCTGTTAACTGGGAAGTCAGAAAGCTAGAAAGCTAAAATTTTAAGGGGATATTCCCCGTCCACATAGGTCTTGATGAGTTCAAACCTAGCTCCCAGGTATGCACGGTTCCCACGTACAGGTCAATAAAAAACTTGGCTAGTAAGTTGTTAACTCGGGAAACAGGAAAGCTAGAAAGCTAAAATTTTTATTGGGTGTTTCCTGATAGTCCTGACAGCCAGTGGCAGTTCGCTTAGCTAAAAGCGAACTGCGACTGGTTGCCAGGACTATCAGGAAACATACACAGGTAAAAACCGGTGCCGTTAGCAATAAAAACCTGCGGGAAACGATGCAAAAAACATATCTTCGCACTGGCAGTCGGAGCACTCGCCAATTATTCGTATTTAGGGAAACATTCTTTTTTTCCAGAGCAGCACCGTTTCTACCTGGCATTCGAGAACAGCGTTTGTCGGGATTATTTCAGCGAAAAGCTCTTCGATCATATGGAAAATTTGGTGGTGCCAATTGTACTGAAGAAATCGGTGTACGACAATATTATACCAACAGGATCGTTCATTGCTGTAGATGATTTTGAATCACCACGCGAACTTGCGGATTACTTGAAATACTTGGAAAAAAACAACACTGCTTATCTGAGGTAACAGTAGACATGCTGAAGTCGAGATTGTGATTTTTTCAAGCACTGCCTGGTTTAGCAGACAGTACGTATACTTATTTTGATACTTTAACCAGCTGTTCTTTCATAATCGCGTTTCTTCTTGCCATTAATGCAGATAGCAAACTGCTCTGTTCTTCTCTTTTGAGCCACTCTCCTCTGCATGATTTTACTCACGCTTTTAAGGCACCGGTTGTCTTTCATTCCTTCTTTGAAATTTAGTAACTTCCATTTAATAATCCGCTCTACCCCTCTCTTCTTTCTCACTCCCATTACGTGATAAACCCAGCTTTTTTCTTTTCGCATACACTGCCTTGATTTTATCGCTTATGCCATATAGGGCCTGCAATACACTGCTGGAGAATTTGTTGAAATACGCAGACACCTACCATTCGTTTTCTTTGTGACTTATTGGATTATAGCTAATTCTCCCACACAGCAGAGCTAGTGACAGAGTGGTACTGAAAAAAGAAACCCTGAAGTATTTTTGGTATGCTGTACATAACGTGCACCAAGATCTAAAACGGGAAGACGGAGTAAGGTGCAAGGAGGATATCAATCGCACGCTTTGTTACGAAGATCTTTCACAAAACATAATCACGGAAAAAAATAATTCGAAAGCTCGTCAACTGGTGATGCAAAGATGCATTTTCTACAGGTGTCCCTGTAGGTTTTCGTCGCTAAATTCACTGTTTTCTTCGGCAAATGTTTTTAGCCAAAAAAATTGAGACTAGCCACACGAATGTCAGGAACCTCAATGAATTCGGTCGTAGCGACGCTTAAAAAAAATTTAGCATTTTGGATTCATCCAGTTAACGTTTGCCTGCTAAAAATTCTCATTGTTTGCACTAATTATGTGAAAAAATAGTTGATATGCTGTCTGGCTTCTAAGCTGCGAAATCCCCCACTAAAAATTTCACGTACCGGTAAGTGAAAGCTGAATCTGAAGCCTTGGACAGAAAACATTTTCCGAATTTCAACCTCCTCGTTTTCCGGCTTCAGAACTAATGACTTTCGTGCCAAAGCTCTCACATGGCCATAATTAAGACCTCTTCATCTATGGAAGCTAAATTTGAGTCTGTGAGGTCTCTGCATAGAAAAACCCAGGCTGGGACGCACCGGGCGGGCCTGTGCGACCATGCGTTTTTGCACCGGACTTGAATTACTCAGGTCATTAACTGTATGAATGGCTGTTGTTTTACA